TTTGGCGTACATTTCTTTTTTTTCCACCTTTTTTTCAATATTATTTGTTTTTTACGATTGGTCGAAATAAGATACTCCACTTCACGCTGATAAAGTACGCTCTCTGGGGAACGTAACTTAATTCACGGTTATAGATTTTTTTTGGAAGACAATCAAAAAGGTCAAAAACTACTCCCTATGTTAGTATTTTCTTCTACTTGTTGAAAATAATATGACAGAATGTATTTCCAAAGTCTACTCTTTTCACAAATAGTTCTATAATTATTCTATGCATATCMTTGATATTTTCAAGTGCTACTAATCTGTTGCATAGATTCCTTCCTTATTTCAATTTCTCTATTATCTTTTTTATTTTTTGTGTTGTTGTGAAACACTTAAAGGTCGCATGATACTGATGACACTTACATCTACCGACAAGATACGTCGTTAATTACATAAAATCCAGATATGTTGCCTCTCAAGTTTAGGTCACTCGAGAAACCTTATCAGCGTCTCTACAGTCAGTTGCATTTTGTACTGTTCAACACCGCGCTCCAATGAGGGGTAACGCTGTGGTTTCTGGTAGGGTTGGGATGTTTTACTTGGCTGTTTTMATCCATCTAGTTATAATTGGCCACTGTGTTGGATACTCCTCCCATGATGCTACTGCGAAAATCAGTAACAAGCTTGGAATCCAACTCTACAAGTTGTTATCACGCGAACATGGTAACATCTTGCTGTCTCCTCTTGGTATGACTCTCGCTCTTGGCGCTGTGCGCGTTGGAGCCAGAGGAATTGTGGCGAGGGAAGTCGACCAAKTGGCTGGATGGAGTCCMAGAACCATCCACCGGCAGCTAAAGAGCCTCCGAAGTCAAGTTACCGTGAGACGAATCGATAATGTCCATTTGAAAATAAGGAACGCTCTACTGGGATATCATGTTTTGGGTTTGCGTGCAAAGTATCGTAAAGTTATAAGCTATTATGGTGCGAAAACTGCAATCATGACGTCGACGGAAATACAGGAGTATTTTAATAACCGTGAACACTTTAAAAGGAAGCAGGAGTCCGCTGAAAAAGGACCAAATGTATTTTTTGTCAATGAARTGAAACTTGATGCCGTTTGGGAAATCCCTTTCACTGTGTTCACTAAGTCACCGTTTTACATTCCTAGACAGAATGGTGTATCAGATAAAGTCGTTCAAGCGCTTTACGTTGGATTTATGTCAGATGAAAATCAGCTCAATTACTTTGACGATAAAGAAAACCTCTGCCAGGTCATCGAACTGAACTATGGGAAGGCTGGTCGTCTAGGAGACATGTGGGACCCTCGTTACAATCCCGCCGATATCTCCATGGTGATAGCTTTGCCAAATAAGGACATTCCCCTTCAAAATCTAGAAAACAGCTTGACTATTGATATGGTTAACACATGGCTGTCCCGGATGAAACCAACGAACATCGATGTATCGATTCCTAAGTTTAACGTCTCCCGCTTTATAGATGYCTCACTGTTGTTCCAAAAACTACGAGTTCTCAATCCAAAATCCAAAGCTGCTGACCCAAAAAATCAATCGATGATCCGCTCAATATGGCAGGATGTTAATCTCGCGGTCACGGAGACTGGAACTAGAGCCGAAGACCCACCCGATGTGCTATCGATTGTTTTGYTGTCCAAGTCAAAGGTGTTTCATGCTGAACGACCATTTTTGTTTTTAGTTCGAGATAAAGTTACCGGTGCTATAATGTTAGCAGGTCGTATCATTAACCCCATTCAATAGGAGGTACAATATCTGACTTAGAGGTAGCTGCTAGTAATCAYTGAATTAGAATATTGTTGATACAGCATGTTGTAATGTTTGTTCAGGGGCGTGGAGTTTTTCGATATTGTCGTCCATTTTTTTTTACGAAAGGCCTTATGGGGCCTCTCGTCATTATGTCATCGTGCTGAGTGACCGAACATCCACTTGTAGCAGGCGTTCCTTGCGAGTCCTTGATATGTTAAGTCGAAAAGAAAAAAACTATAGAGGAAAATAATAATAACAGCAAAGGAAAAAGAAGAAAAGAAAAAGAAAAAATAGAAAGAAGAAAAGAAAACAGGAAACAAAAAAAAAAAGAAAAATTCACAAAGAAAAAAGAGAAATTCCAGCAGCAGGATTCGAACTCAGGACTTTCACTTTAGGAAAAGATGTACCCCCCCTGAATACATAAAAAATACTGAAAATAGAAAGACTAAAAAGATGGGACGATTCCCCCGAGACATTCTATGAAGCTGAGGCGGCGAATCGGCTTACGTTACGGTTAGAGATTTCGGCTCTTCCACGCTATCCCGAAGTGAACATAAAACTTAGTCTTAACCAAAAGGCCAGGGAGTGAGGGGGTAGCCGCCCACTAGAGCATACCTTTAGCTACCCTCTTAGACCATCGTACTATGAAGACACTTATAGATATCTAATATCTAATTGGGGTAGTCTATTCGGYGHASWTCTATGCTAATATATGACGTCACCAAAATCCTTAGGGAGCTGCGAGCCAATCAGAGCTCAGCTCAGGAATTAGCAAAAGATACAGGGTTTGCATAATCATCCTTCAGTGGATTTATTATTTGATGGGGGGTGGGGATGGGCGCTGTGTGCTTATTTACGCCCGAATACCGATGTACTCACTGTAATAAGGCGGCTTTTACCAAGCTGTCAAGTTGTCGTTATTGTTTTACCAGGACTAAAATGTGTACAGTTCTCATATCAGACAGACATTACTAATATTCAAGTAAACAGCACAACAAAAATCTCTTGAAATTCTTAACATAAGTGGTTTACAGACCAGGATCACGAACCAGCCAGATACTGGATGTTGCTAAAGATTTTCCGGGATTCGCAATGCTTATGACAGACAATCGAACAACTTTGAAACTCCAACATTACACACGAACGTTCCACATTTTCGTTCTTGATGATATAAAAGTTAACAAGTGGATTCATATCAAATTATGAAATCAGAATTGTTAAATCAACAATTCAGAGGATGAATGACAATCCGTTTAAAATTGATAAAGAAATGAAGAAAAACTTAGCAATCTTTGGGTTTTACATTTCAAAACTACGTATAATCAGGCGAATAAGAGAAATTATAYTGACATGGATGATGTAAAAATACACTTAAATAATATAAACATTTTATCAAACAAAACGTTCGAGAATTTACAGCAAAGCTAAATCAAAGCTCTAAGGACTCAGTCCATGTTCTGGATAACAATTCCTCTTCACCAAANAGTTTTGCAGGCTATACAGCTAATTAAAGATAGTGTTTCCAAGAGCGAAATGCATTGTGGGTCTTTCTATCAGCGTTCACCATTCAAAAGGAGCTTTCTGCCATTCTGTAACGAAGCAAACTCGAAGTAAACTAAATCTCTTAATGGTCTGAGTCACATGCAGTCATCGATTGCCTATTTTTATTATTCGGTATTCTTAGTTGCATGAATTAACCCTTTTGTCTTTAGCCGCATCATTTTTTCATTGCATGTTTCTCTAAAATTTTATTATAAGGTCCAGAACTCATAAAAAGGCTTGTTAATTAAGACTTTTAAAATATATAAATCAGTTACCGTGMCACGATTAAAATAACGCGATTCTAATGCAATCTTTATTTTTGATCTATTTTGYYATTCATTAATTTACAACCTGTTAAGAATGCGTTTCATATTTTCGGATGTCATGGTTTACAACGATTTCAGTTCTTCCTGCGCTTTTCACAGAAATACCCGTCAAGCGCTGATCTTGATCCTTTGGGGCATTTCACACAGCGACGAGCTTTCCTTGACCAGTAACGATTCTTGTGACAACTCTGTCTTTCATCATTTTCAATCCTTCCAATCGTGTGAAGCAATTTCTTGCGCTTTGACGCCTTGTCTTTGGGCGACTGCTCSTGAATACAGAGTTTCATGTTAACTTTTAACGTGAAATCATTGTTTGAAATGCTTGGAACTGGAGTCGATTCGTAWCCAGAGACGGTGATTTTCCAACTGGAGTAGACAGACGGAAACAGGGAAGTCTTCTGAAGTAGTTCCATGCAGTTGTTCTCGTCGACATTGAGTGGGCATAGTTTAGGTAGAGAGGATCCGTATGGGTTAGGCAAAGCTTGAATTTTACACGGATTGTCACTTTGACCTTCTAGGTACTCGTAGATCAGTTGTTTATTAGGTACAATMACATAACTGGTGTCACTTGATGTCGAAAGCTTGTTATCCCCAACTACTCTTGCATCAACACGAACCATACGTTGTGTAAGACTCTGCGACGGTAAATATACCTCAAACTTTTTCACCACAACGGATGAATCTTTGTTTTGTGCAGAAATCCAGCCATTTGTGACGAGCCATTGGGAATTTGGAACCTTGAAAGTAACAGGTCGGCCAGCGTACAAATCATCGAGGTTTATAAATCCTTCATTATTAGTAGACGAAATGGGAATACCTTTGTAGGCTTCTGTGTTTCGGCATAAAGTGCCTTTGTATGATGCTAGTGTAGCGATATCGGTGTCTCTTCCTTGGCAGACATCTGGTCGATTCCCGCCCTCTTTGTACTCCAGGATATCACAGTAAGACTCTATTATTTGCCAGATGTTGATTTTATATGATATAAACGATACTAAACTTAGCGTTTTGATGTCGTTTACAACATTGTTGTCACTCGTAGAGAGATCTTCGTATTCAGAGACAATATCCAAAGCAGCATACTGTGACGTCATTGCTCTCATATTGGTTGCCATGGCTTCAATCAGTTCAAATTGGAAGTCGTATATTTCTGTATAGGTTTCCGTCATTTTGGCTGCAAGTACTTTTGCTTTTGGACAATGGCCTTCAGCACCTGCGTATGTCTTTGCAATGGCTGATCCAGCCCCATGTGTTGACTCGATAACGTTACATCCTGAGTCAATCAAAGCTTCCCACATGGCTGTCAATTMGGCAAGTTCTGGTCTTTTCACCTCTGGTTTATAACATTTATAGCAATCTAGAAATGTTTGTTTCTTTGCTTCAAAAGTATCAACTGACATTCCTGTATCAACACTCTCAATCAACTCCTTGACGTTTTGTAAGAATGCAGAGTTATGTCCAAAACGTTCGCCAATGTCGCAGACCTTGCTTTGGACTACATCAAAAGTATCTGCCATTTTTGCCAACTTTGCAATTTTTGCCAAGCTCTGAGCCAGTGTCTGTGCCTTTTCTATAGACGCACTAATACTTCCTCCTCCAATGATTGAGGTTAATGGATTTGCGACAGCAACGAGGGAAAGGGACATCAAGTAGGTGTCCTCGACAATATCTGTGGTGACGGCAGAAATGGCGGTATTCAAGATTTTATCAAACCTGGATGCTAAATCATTTGTAATGGTATTCACGTCATCTCTGTAAAAGTCTAGTCTTTCCTTTACAAAGTCGACATCTGCTTTGGATTTCACCCTGTTGAATCTTTCCACCTTTTGAAAATATGTTCGTAGTCCTCTAAACCGCTCGTTTGTGTTTTTGTTAACCTCRGTTTCAACCCATTTAGCCAGATCTGGCAATGCATTCGCATTATTTTCAACAACTTCGAGAACTCTATTCATCTCCGTCAAGCTCAGGAACTCTGGATAATCAATTTTTGTGTTGAGCATTTTTTTGGTTAGTCCATGTTTGTTTGGCTTTAGGGATTGAATGTAGGCCCGAATTTGGATGATGGCTTTCCAGAAGAGGCAGGCATTCTTTTCTCTACTSGGCAAATTCCAAAGATTTCTACATGCTGGTCTGATAACCTTCAAGCCTGGGATGAAATCAAGTAGCTCTTCCATCTTTGGCATTTGTCCATTRGACATATACGTGAAAATCTGTTCAAGATTTTTGACTATGATTTCATTCGACTCTTGGGGTGACGGATAGATGTCATCTTCGAAAACTTCAGGATTGCTATCTTTGACGACAACAAAGTAAAGTTGAAAAGCATTCCATTTCACTCCTTCTTTGCTCTCATCTTTAACATTATCAAACGCATCTACCAAGGCGATGATGTCCGGTAATGCCTGGCAGAACTGCCTGCCCAAGTCATCCATCGTACCACAGAAGGTCTTAATTTCATATCTGAGGGATTTGCTGTGGCGTCTTCTATCGTCAGGTGTCAAAACTTTGGCAAATTTCTCTGCTTTCGGACCAGCCAGTCCCTTGAAAAACTTGGTCTTTGCATCATTTTCAGTTAATGGCTTGTTGACTCGATCCAGGCACTGTCGAAGCAAAGGGTGCAATAGCCAAAGATCCACATATGTATCTATGATTTCTTCATCTCCAAGAGCTGAGATTACTCGCCAGTCATGATTCCGTTGGATAATATTAAAGCGCCTTGCGTATAGACAAATATCGTCGAAATACGCTGAACGATCTGCACATTTTCCTTCAAGAATTGCGTCAACGTTTGTAGTCTTTCCTTCTTCTTTGAGTTGGTCTGTTATTGCTATGAAGTCTCTCGTTATTGGAACCATATTATTGGGAGATGTTCGGAGGTCGTTGAAGTGTGTGCAAAAATCAGAAAAATCGATCTTTGTATCTTGAGACCCATCTGATACTTGRATGAGGAGAAGTCCAAGGAGAACGTATATGAAGATCATCTTGTGGTCTTCACAATTTTTGTTTACCTAAAGAGAACATTCAATAAATATTGCTCGCACGGACATAACAGATAATTGAAAATGACTTGAAAGGGAACAGAGGGAAACAGAGATCGCCACTGGCTTGTTCTAGTACTGGTCACTGGTCAGATTATATGTTTGGAGTTAAAAAACAAAGCGTATCATCATCAGAAGAACAGCAACCACAAAAAAAACTCACAAAATAAATAATTGATATGGAGCTATTGTCATATGAACTATAAAAAATGTAATATATAGTCGAATTGTACTAATGTGTAAAAAAACTGCAGAAATTCAATGCAGCGATTTACCTTCAACACCTTACCATATGCCTTGTTCACGAAAACTAAAGAAAATTCAGGGAACATGGACTATTAGGTAAGAGCGAAGAATTAGGTAATGTCAATTTTGGKCGTTGAGAACATTACTACATCAAATAACTTCAAAAGGTGGTGCGCGGAATGGTGGCCATGATGTAGACTTGCGAAATACCAACAATTAAGCACGGACGCACCGATGATTAACAAGAAGTTTGTTTATTTAAACCTCTACCCCACTTGTCTAAAATCTCGTGCACAGATTCGCTTATTAGAGACTGCCAATAGGAGGACATGCAACTCAAAACCCTGCTCAATTTGTTAACAATTATCTCAATTTCCTAGCCACTAACATGTGCTTGAATCGCGTGAAATTAGAAAATATTTGCAAAAACTCAAAAAGGTTTCTGCTCAGTTGCAAAGCATGGCACTCTGAATTCCTCTTTTCGTCCATTTTGTGAGATAATTATTTTATTGACTGAATGCATTTAGCGAGTGATTAGCGTTCATCATTCCCTCGAAATTCAGAAAGGAAAAGAAGCTATGATTATGTGGAATTAAAGAAAGGAAATATAACGTCATTTGAAATCTGTGAACCAATTCTACTGAATCTACTACTACGCTCATGAAACATTTTTCAGTTTTTGAAATTACAATTCTTCCATTTCTTAGCATTTCTATGATAATTTTTGCGCAGAAGTTGTCATCCAGCTTTCGGACAGTCGACACAAAAACCAATTGATTGACCAATACTTTGGTTAGGGACAACGTTTTTTATTTATCTTTGCGGAGTTCCTTGTAATTCTTTTTATCTTCCTGGTCTCTGTCCTGTGTCTTNGTTGAGAACATTACTACATCAAATAACTTCAAAAGGTGGTGCGCGGAATGGTGGCCATGATGTAGACTTGCGAAATACCAACAATTAAGCACGGACGCACCGATGATTAACAAGAAGTTTGTTTATTTAAACCTCTACCCCACTTGTCTAAAATCTCGTGCACAGATTCGCTTATTAGAGACTGCCAATAGGAGGACATGCAACTCAAAACCCTGCTCAATTTGTTAACAATTATCTCAATTTCCTAGCCACTAACATGTGCTTGAATCGCGTGAAATTAGAAAATATTTGCAAAAACTCAAAAAGGTTTCTGCTCAGTTGCAAAGCATGGCACTCTGAATTCCTCTTTTCGTCCATTTTGTGAGATAATTATTTTATTGACTGAATGCATTTAGCGAGTGATTAGCGTTCATCATTCCCTCGAAATTCAGAAAGGAAAAGAAGCTATGATTATGTGGAATTAAAGAAAGGAAATATAACGTCATTTGAAATCTGTGAACCAATTCTACTGAATCTACTACTACGCTCATGAAACATTTTTCAGTTTTTGAAATTACAATTCTTCCATTTCTTAGCATTTCTATGATAATTTTTGCGCAGAAGTTGTCATCCAGCTTTCGGACAGTCGACACAAAAACCAATTGATTGACCAATACTTTGGTTTGGGACAATGTTTTTTATTTATCTTTGGGGAGTTCCTTGTAATTCTTCTTATCTTCCTGGTCTCTGTCCCCTGTGCCTTCTTTGGTGCTGAAATACATAGTCTTGCCATGCCAATTTTCAGGCGGAAATCGCGATTTTCTGCTTTGGTGCAGTGCGGACTGGTATCCCTGTTATGTAAGAGTTTGGTAAGAGTTTGTAAGAGTTTGGTAAGAGTTTGTAAGAGTTTGGAACTTCCCTGTACGATAATAGTAACTGGACGCGTGACTAGATAATATGCATTAGCAAGAATTAATTAAGACCTCAAACGTTTTCACCACAATGACAACCCTTGCAGTAAAAGCTATATTTTACATTTTCGTATAAAATTTACAGCCGTCTAGATCTTCACGAGATCTTAGAAATAGAAAAGTTAATAACTGGTTTGGCTCGTTTGTCGTTATTTACTGTAGTATAGTTTGCATTTGCGATATTTTTTAAGGACATTCAAGTTTTTTTTTGGTAATGAAAGCGTTGGAAAAAATCTCAAGAAATTTCATGTTTATTCTTGTTTTCGTTTGTCAATATGAAACAGTGATTACTTCTTGATAAGTGTTAAAATATCGCGAGATGCCAATGAAAGAATTGTCGAAACCTCTTCTTTCTATTGTCGTATGGATTTACGTTGAGGCAACAAATTATGTATGCGTTTACACCCCGCCCCCCTCAATATCTACCCTGACTATATGGTACAAAGAACAAGGAAAATGAAAAAATATCCTCGTTTCTATTTCCCCGATAGTGATAATAATCAAACTTTTATAGAAGATGGCTGTGTCAGCTGTTTTCAGCTTCAAACGAAGAWTGRACGAGRGAAGACTGGCACTAGCACYWCTCRCTCTTCGAGCTGGTTTTCGTTGTACACGTAGAGWTTCACACATAGACCTTAAAAAAACACGAATTRTTTTATAGCAAAGTCATATTGATWRCTCATYTTGTACAGAATGATGTCTCAGGAAGAGATTCTTCCTTGGACGGAGCCAGATACGAACTTTTTCGCGGACAATTTGCTTGGAATTGAAGATTGGGGTAAGATTTGCTCAACCGGCTTTCGATARTTCAAACAAACGTTGTGAATATTTTATCTAAATGCAGTGCTAATAATRCTACTTCATTCTCAGGAGATTCTATAACAGACATTAATTTGGATGAAAATGATATTTTACTTGGGAACAGTGACCAAGACATGGATGTAAGTACAGAAAAACTAGTCATGATCATGAATTGGTTGTGTAAATTAAGCTTACAAAGATGGCGTCCTTGGCAAGTGCTATTACGACTTCCTCCTTGTGATTTCACGGACAAATTTAAAACTTGCTCAAATGCTGAATGCAAATGTACTTGTATAGTAGCTTATCGGTATCCCGGAATCGATAATAAACAAAAACACTGATACAAATGTTTTTAGGGGTATCACGGAAGTTGGTAAACTTCGTGACGTTGGTGACGAATCTCAAGCTTGCATTCTTAATTAAGCGTCGTTTAGAGACYTCTGTTATCATTATTCCTGTTTCTTCAGCTTTCTTCTTTTGTTAGCATTGTATCTTGCTGTTTTTTAGTATTTTGGTTTAGTTTTTATGGATATTCTATCTATTTCTCGCCCCGAAAAGAGAGGAATCTTGACATGACGCAATTTTTTGCTATTTGATCGTCAGACAATTCATTCTCAGCTGTTTGAGGGATCTTCTTTCCCATGACCGTGCAGCTTTGTTTGACGGGCAATTAAATATATTCTCTTTTCTTTTTTAACTACACATATATAGTTATATTTCATGTTTATTTTACAAACCACAAATAGCAAAAAAAATAATTGGTATTATATAATCATGTGAATTTTCCTCTCTTCCTTATGGATACCATTTTAGGCAATTTACATACATTGTAAGATTCATAGGTCGACCTACTTATAGGTACAGGAAACATCTCTATATTGTACAAAKTTTTATCAAAGAGGGTCAACAAATATCAGTAGCTGTTATTCCATGTTTAGGGTTGAATGATTTTTTTTTTTAGAAACTTAAATTCATATTTCTGTTATTAATATATATTTATTTACTTTTTGCTTTGTTATTTTGTGTTCTTGTTTGAGTCGGGCATCTGTGCTTACTAGTATTTACAGCATTTAGAGCAGTATTGGCTGTTGTGACCAACAGCAATAATATCAAAATGAATACATTAGCACTTAGATAAATCCTGGTTCTTCCTTCATACTTGCAAAATTGAACAAAGATGTGTGTTTTATCTCTTAATGAAAGAATAATGTTAAGTTTTTATTGATTTTTTTATTGAGTTTATAAATTCAGTTTCTTTCTTACATAATCATGATCCAACTGTTCCAAGATTGTTCTATATTTCACTATCAAAAGTACACCCTGGTGAGAAGACATCTTTCTAAATGATTCAAACTATAATATAAAAGCAGTAAAGAATCTATTTCTCCTTTTTTGAGTGTGTGCTTTGTTTTACCAATATTTCATGATAATCAGCTGTACTAGTCCAAAAATAAGAACTAAAGTATTGGAGAACAATACAAAGAAGTTGAAGGTTTTTGTTTCAATTGTGTTCCTACTGCCTTTGAGTCCTTCATAACTTTTAGGTATAGCAAGATCTTTTATTATATTTAACAGTATATGCGTTAAAGAACTTCTGGTATGTATTTGTTATGATTTATGTTTAATTTTTTTGACATACTTTAGGTTAATCCTGATGATCTTAGTGAATTACTACAGAATATTGGTGATGACATGTGGGCAATATCAGAAGATACAGTCAAATCATTAGGTAAAGTACTCAGACACCTTTAGAAGAGGCCTTCTCAGCAGCTACTTGAAAAGMTGCAAGAAATCCTTGATTGTTAAATTCTCTCTTGTCACTTTATTCACTTTTGTTTAATGTCAAGGTGTTTAACATTTACATGTTTTCTTGTTGGTGTTTTGATATTGCTCAAAACCTTCTTCAATCAAAGATATTGTATACTGGTAGTGAATCTTCTTACAAATAGAGTGCAAGGTACAAGCTGTTTACAGCTGAAACTTGTCTAAAGACAAATTGCACTTTTATGAAACTACACAGTGAACAAAATTACAACAATATAAACACAAATTTAACAATAAACTTCAATCATAAATAGGGCTATTTATTGTGTTTTTTGTTGTCATAATTTGTTCCTCTATCTCTGAAATATCATCTACTTGAATGTTCTTAAACGGTTATTAATTTACAGCTAAATGTGCATGTAACTACTACATTATAAAATCTAATGCACACTCAATCATTTCCTATGAAGTAGAGATCTATATTCTCAAAAGATATATTAATTTTGAGGTTAAATGATTTTAAATGTGAAAAAATAGGATATGTTTTGTCTTTGTTCAGTGCAAACAAAGAACTAGTCTTATCATCATTAATAATGCATAACACCAGGCATTAACATACATTCTATTGTGTTTGATTGACAGGTGCACATATCAAGCAAGARCCRCCWTCGCCRTCATCATCAACRTCATCACTTATCTCTTTAGATTCTTCACTTCCTAGCTCACCAGAATCACAGGTAAATGGCTACTGTAGATTAAAAAATAACAGAATACAAGGGAAAAAAGTTAAATTGTTTATAATATATAGAGGATATTACATGGATATTATATCTTACATCGAGAAGATAAAATTCGTATCTCCAAGCGCAAATGTAATATTCTGTTTATTATATAAATTATTATAAACACGAAAAAAAACAGCAAAAGTTTAAATATACCTTTATTTAATGGTAACGTGTTATCTTCATTTTCACGATAGCTATCACTTTTTCACACGAAAGATACACTGGTATTTCATAATTATCTTTATTCTTGCAGCTTTTGACAAATGGACAATGCTCACCTATACACAATCCCAGCTATACTAAAATAGAGCCWGCACCTCTAGCACCAGCGCAGCCAATCAAAACAGAGAATAATTTAAAARTACCATCCATGTGCATCAGAACAGAACCCAACCTTGTCCTCCCCCTGTTAGAAAAAAATGTGTCAAGYGTCATTAAGACAGAAGTTGCAGTAACACCATCTTGTATGATCAAGAAGGAGCCCATTACAATTCAACCATGTAGTCTGGTCAAACCTCTACCAGCCAGTATCCCTGCAGGACATGTACAGAAGATCACAATMCAAAATGGACAACAAGCTAAAGTACTGCAGCAAGGAAAAGGCAAGCTATTCCTGATAAAATTAATGTTGTGTGTTTCTAAGAAATAAGGTGCATGTTTTGATAAATTCATCTGTATATTGTATTTTATATAGATGATTTCTAACGCACGCTCTGATTGGCCAAAAAAGTGTGGTTTATGAGAGTATATCTCATATATTGTATTATGACATAAAGTGATGTTTATGTTGTATCTAGGTGTTGCAGTAAGTACAGCGGGTAATATAGCATACATTCCTGTATCAGGGACAWTACCAACCACCGCCATCCTTGTAGGGGTATGTAATTGTTGTTATTATCTTTTGATTAAAAAACTACTCCCATCCAAGAACTTTTATGTTCCTTTGTTTTGTTCTACAGTGACCTCTTGTTGAAAGGTCTTTTTAGTTGATTGCATTATAATCACATGAAAATATACAATGGCTGACAAGCTGTTTGCTTACTTTTAGAACAAAGCTGCCCTCCCAATCTCTAAACCAGTCAGCTCTGTCGGCAATGGAGCAACGACAGTCAAGTCACCACTTACCAATAGTGTAGTCAACGTAAGTACAAATATTGAGTGCAACTAAATTGTACATTTTGGGATCATCAAGTCTGCTGTTGCTGTCATAAACATTTTGACTCTCATTTTTTAATAGATGTTTTACAAAACATCATCACCAACAATGTCGTCATCATCATCATCAACAATGTCGTCATCATCGTCATCAACAATGTTATCATGATCATCAACATTGTCATCATCATCAACAATGTTATCATGATCATCAACAATGTTATCATCATCAGCAGCAATGTTATCATCATCATCATAATGATGAAATTTTTTTGCCATGACTATAAATACAATTTGATCATGTTCAACATTGATCATCTTGTAGAGGTCAAGCATGTATTGAATCATATATCTCAAAGGAAACATTATTATTATATATAGGAAAAAGTTATGAAGAGACAACAAAGAATGATAAAAAACCGTGAATCAGCTTGTTTATCAAGAAAGAAAAAGAAAGAGGTATGAGACCTTTTCCTCTGAGAAAACTTTGCAATTGTATGCCTAGTACAAGTACCTTCTGTGGTGCATTACCCAGTACTAACAAAGGTTTGTGTTTGTTTTCTTGCAGTATTTACAGTCTTTGGAATCCAAAGTTAAAGAAGTCACACATCTCAACGATAAGTTAAATCAAGAAAACATGAAACTAAAACACAGAGTTACAGAACTAGAAAAAGAGGTACCTTTATAAATATATTTATACAATACAGCAGAGAATAATGGTACCATGGCATATTTTATATTTTGTTGTTTAATATGTTTGATAATGACATTATCAATGTGCAACATTCTGGAATGGGAATGATTGGTTTYTGTATACTTTAGGTACCAGGCATTACTGTCATTATTAGAATTACCGTCATTCCATTCTAGAATTCAAGTAAAAGAAAGTCTTTTGGTGTATTTGTATGTTATTTATTTGTTCTTTTCTGTATTTCAGAATTTATTATTAAAAAGTAATCATCCMAACTGGTCATCTACCGCCAAGAAGTCAACATGCGTTTTAGCTGTTGTTYTSCTTGTTGCACTTAACATTGGATCATTTAGGTGAGATGGCTGCTACACCATATAGCTCAAATAATACGYGATGTGTCTAGAACTGTGCGTTCCTCTTTTCTTTGAGATATAAATGTATAAATTGATTATTATTTGTTTCAGCTCATTAAAAAGTACGTGGCAGTTTAACTCACCTGACAACCTCCTGACAGTACATCACGGGAGGGCATTAYTACAATATAACGAAGAAAAAACTGCYRAAAATACAAAACCTCTAGCATATGGGCCACTAAGAAAGAAATATGTCACAAGTAATACTGATTCGCTGGATGCTAAGCCCAARGATACTATCRTCAATGTCAACTCGCAAAGAAAGGATTTGATTGTCGTTGGRAAAAATAAATGGGACTTTTTGTCAGACATGAATAAAAAGAAAAATAATATTTTATCCAAAAGAGAAAGAAGAAGAAARTTTTTAATGAAAGGGATGAATGTGGTTAATAATAAAACTAAAGTCATTGGTGGAAATGTATGTCCAACATCACAAGTAAATACTACAGAATCATTAAGGTAGGTTTGTTATTCAASCTATTTTCGTTAGGTAACATGCTAGCCTGCATTACAAGGAATTCCTAGCTCCTCTGAAGGAGTTTTGGGTCAAAGAAACCAAGTTCCGTTGTTAAATGATTTTTGTGTTTTATTTCTTAGACTCAATGAAGTTTTAGGACAGTGGATCCATGAATACCAAGTGGAAAGRTCATTGAGAAAAAAGAAGCCAACAACAACACAAAACAAGGTATGTCACAGTCGGTTATACAAAGAAAAATAGTCTAAATAAACTACAGAAAGCACGCTGCGAGGCTTGGGAAATCCTCTTCTGTGAAGACTTTTCAACACAGGGAACTAACAGCAATTTCTTTTAGTTCAAATCTGTGAAAGAACTTGCATTGAGGTTAACTCCTAACTGCTCAGAAACTCAAGCAAGAAGGAAGATCCGAAAGTAAGTAGTCGATAATACATTGCGGTCTTGGAATACACTTGCATTGTACAGTATTCCATGTTTTGTGAAATACCTGTATTTAAAACTCGGAATTTTGAGACTAATTTGAATTTATTGTGCTTCTTATTACTATAACAGACACATGTTTCTGCGTCGTCATAATTCAGAGGCATCTGCTAGTAAGAATGCCGTGCAGTTGTTCCAAGGAGTTGATTGGTAAGTGTTATAATATATTCTTTGTTTTGTCTATTGATTTTATGTTTGTTTACAATTTTTGTTGTTGTTGTTGATTAGTATTGAATTGATGCTGTAAAATAATCCAGTGTGATATTGATTTAAAGTATTTTGAATTTTAGGCTGAAAATGTTTTCTGAAGCCATCAACAGACAAGATGACACAATGTACATCGTTTCATTTAGACAGGTAAGTTAATTAGAACAATTGATAATTTTATCTTCATAAAATTGTACTTTAGAAAACTCGATCAGTTAGTCATGATCATTAGAACAACGGATAATTGTATCTTCATTTGAACTCTAGAACACTTGATCGCCAGTCATGATCATTAGAACAACTGATCATTGTGTCTTCATATGTACTCTAGAACACTTGATCGTTTAGTCATGATTATAAAAGCAAAAGATCGTTACGATTGTAAATTGTTTTTCATAAAAAATGTCTCTGTTTTAGGATCACTTGGTATTTCCCGCAACTAAAAGCAATGTAACACAAAGACCAAAAGTATCTCTCATGATGATGGCACCTTCAAATGGTAAGTTCACTTTTAGCCTCTTCAGACATTAATCACGGGCTTCCTGTCTTTTTGGGAGTCAAAAGTCACTAGTCCCTATCGGCCAAGATGACCGTTACAAAAGAAGCCCTAAGAAGGAAAAAGAGTTGCCTGGGGAGGACGCTATTTCACCATCCTCGGGAACCGTGAGGAACGAACGTTAACCCCTGGGTTCCCGAGGATGCTATTTCACTTTCCTTAAAGAGATATAAAAGAGATTAATTCGCTATTGTTTATTTGTATTTAGATACTACTGTAAATGTCACCAAAGGCGAAGAATCAATATCCATGATTCAAATCGATTGTCAAGTTATGGACACAAAACATATCAACATCAAAAAATCAAGTCTTCCTTCGCCATTCGTCGATAGCTCGTACCGGCCGTCAAGCTCTAATGGCTATACTCAGCCATCAGGTGGACATACTCCTTCGATACCCACTCGTAATGCCAAGTAATTCACTGTGTAAATAAAAAGATCAGAGCGAGGACGTTATACCCGTGAAACWAATGTAATGGTTTAATATTCCACGGATTTATGAAACTATTGTTGTTTTAATAGATAAAACGATATCTAATTAGATATGTAACAAAAATGGTCATTATTGGACATTGTACGTACGCATTTTTTCTCTATTTATTTACCAACTAAAAGCTAATGGCTGAATATCCGTGCCTTTGGGGAAAGATAAGGCTCATTATTTGACCAATCAGAGCGTGCGTCAATCARTCTATACTGCTAAGTTATTACCCACAKTACGCTGCGTCAATAATCAGTTTTATGACCCATGTTAATGTTCGGTATATCGAAAGGTTGTACATGTATTTGGTTTGTAACTCTATCAGTTTATTCAGTAGCTGGAAGTTTTTAGAATAATAGTATTATAATGACAGTTGGTCAACGAAAGCATGCAGTCATATAAATATTATTTAACTTATACAAGAATAAAGAAAGAAACAGTATATATAGCTATTTCAAAAAAGGTTGTCGGATAAAATGGCGAATGTCAATGGTCGAACGGCGATTGCACGACCGAAAGTAGTCATGGGTTTTGGTAGTTGAAGGGCAATAACAACTGATTTTTACTATA